TAATGGACCTTTATAATGAAAAAAAAAACATAATAGAACAGCAAATTATTGGCGAGCTCTTAGAGCAGGCGCACCAAGCGAGCATTATTATATACGCGAGTATCTCAAGATGTAATGGTTTTGAAAACTTTAGCCGAAAGTACAGAAAAATAATGGGTTAAAAGAGTGACTGCTCTTCATCGGGGCGATTTTGGTTTTCTGTCCTGTTATATTTGGAGCATGCCAGGAATCAGTTTCAGCATCAGCAGGTTTCTTGCATTATTGTTAACCAAAGCACGCCGGGAAATAGTTTTTTTCTGGTTTCCTTTCTCATTATGGTTCCCATTCAAATTAACATTAGGAAAACCTTGCCATTTATCATTAAACTTGCGTTTTATCGAAATGGGACTCTTAACGCGTTCACGACGTTTGATGAATAAATCATGAAGTACGCAAAATTTTGACTCATGTATTTAGCACAAATTTATGATAAATTGCAGTTAAAAATACCTTTACACGCATCTTATCCGTGAAATAAAGAAAAAAAAACAGAAATAGACGCGGCAAAATCGACTTCCGGTACGTTACCGTTTCGCTATATCCTTTTCCCGAAATGGAATTATAAATCTCGAAATTTGAGTGGATTTTATTATTTGACGAATGGATTCAATTAAGATAACATAAAATGGCCGTTGGATGAATTGTGCGCTGTACAGTTCTATGCATAAAAATGAAACCATTACTGTAAAGTTAATGTGTTATTGAAAGTGTGCAGCCACCGACAGGTTTAATAAATATGGTTGTATATTTCAGACAGCTCGCCTTATTCATATTATTTTAAAGTCACACGGACAAGATAATACTTACCTTTAATGATATTCAACTATATATTGAAAAACAAGTTTGTAAAAATGTCGCGCTTGGTGCGTTTATTAAAGCGGACAATTTGATTTCTCGATATGTAAAAGAAATACACACGTAATGTGACTATATAGTAAAGATTAATGTTTAATAATAGGCATTCACAAAATTAGATTGTTAAGACCAGCGTATATCTTTTATTTATTTTTTAAACTAAATTTATGTCGATATCTGAAATATTTATATCTATTACACGGCGGCATACAGCCATACATCATCATTAAAAGTAGTTGGAAAAATAGTTTACGGTCTGAGGATGATATACAGAATAACGAACCTCAGAAGAAAAAAAGTAAAAATCCTGAAAATTCTGGAGATATTTATGGCAAATTAGAAAAAAAGTCGTGTATGGAATTGTAAAACTTACTGTACATACTAAATGATTACTTTAATGATGCATATTATAATCCATAAAATGACAAAATATGAAATGATAAATAACATAGATGTGAGTATTGAATAGATATTATAAATGTTTCTAATAACTCGTCAGTAACTAGTGAGGAATACAGTGCCTTAAAGATGCGATACTACATTGAGTTGTTACAAAGACGTTTTATTCATCTCAAAATATTTTAATTTTTAGTATATTTTACAAAAAACATTTAAATGCACATTTAATATTTATCATAATTACAGCAATACATACTTATTTCAGTGGGGATTTTTTGTATCAGTCATGAGTTTAAATTAATTATGCAAAGATTTATATTTTACTCTTGCCGAATTCATTTTAGTATGTTTCCGCTTTTTGAAAATTTATAGCAAGAATAACGTACATATTTTCCATGTGTTGAATTGTCCCAAAAAATATCACCCAATATTAATAATGAATTAACTTATTTCTATCTTAAAAAATAACGCCCCACGTTTTAGCAAACGAACATGGGTTTTTATAGTTACTTTTAGTATCGGTGTATGTGATTATACCCCGAGAGAGTTTGGTTTAAAGTGAACATAAAATATACAGATTTATTTAAGTGTGTCCAATATGTAATACATGCTTCAATATCTATTTATAAAGCATGTTTTGGAATACAGGATTTTTTTTCAAAAAATATACGGTATTTCTATCTTTTAACCAAATAATTACTTCATGTATGGACAGACAAATTATTTCAATTTCAACTTTGTTATATCAATCATGTATTCATATTTACCTCGTTTTATTTATTTAATTTTTTTATTTCCTTAATTTGTATAATTATATGATGTCGCTCTCTCGAGTGCACTAGTCCTTAAAAGGCTTGTTTTTGTATTCGTCATATTTACTTAAGAAAAAGATTTTTTTCGTTTTTTTTGTAATCACACCAAATGTATATTATTTTCCTTTTTGTTATTATAAGGCTTAAAAACTACCGTAACATGCAACCACGTGCTGTTGAACATATTCGTTAAGGTGTCCTCAAATGCAACCGGCAAAAAAAAGAGACTAATTTATGAACATAAAGCTGTATCATTGTCCGATATCGGGGACATAAACTCATTTCGAATAATGTTAATCGAATTACCGTTTTGGCTAAGTTGGTAAATCAAAGATTTTCATTTTGTTTCATCTTACAACTTATTTGTGTGCCTGTCTCTATAAAGTACGACATGCTGTATGATTTAATATCTATATGCTTTCATGAGAACACACATATGTACATGTTCATCACCCCTGTGTACCGAAATTCCCCCATCATCTCATGCGTGAGTATGTTATAGTATATGAAAAAAAAATCAGTCAAATCTGTTTTTATGATCATAATAAAATTATTTCAGCTGATGCGGATTCTCTGTGTTCTGTACATAAAGACACGGTTTGATTTGAAAGTTCACGTTGTTTTTACCTAAAAGACTTCCATCTGCGTAACCTTTTTACAATTTTACTGATCTTTGTTATTTTAAAAAGCGCCTAAGTTATCATCCTAGGACATAACTTCTTTTATAATTGGCCACAGAGCACACGGATATATCCCCCTGCTTCCTATTTAGCTAAATAATGATTCGAGTAAATAATTTGCTTAGGTAATGATTTTTTAATTTACAAGATATGGTTATTAGTCTTAGTTTTCGCACAAAATACTCATGTATAGGCAAGCATCTACTTTATAATGCTTTTCTGGTACGAACTAATCACATTCTTGTTTGAAAAAAATGGGAAAGAATTAAAGTTACTGTCCAATTTTGCACGTAGGTTTCCAAACCATAACGTACCTAAAACAAAATAGCTGTCACATTAATTGCCCCAAAACGTATTTCTTGCATATCAGACTGGCGTTTCCGTTATCTTTTTCAATGCCGGAAATTTCTTCTGCAAGCCTCGTTACCGCCCAATGGGCGGGTCACCTCAGGACGGATATTCCGATCCGAACCGCAAAATATGACAGATATTTTTAGTCTTACCGGCAATCTCATTCAAACAAGCTCTAAATAAAGCTCTGCTTTAGACCCGACCGTGACCAAGTCATTTCTGTTGAACTTTCACGCGAGCTATCATAATTTTAAAAGCGATCTGGTTTCTTATTTTAACCCTTAGAAACCAATACTGAGCAGGTAATTTTCACGATTTCGAGAACAAACATGGCGTTGTCCATTTAGCCGACAGTTAAACCGGCAAAACGATCTTGCCCATTAAAATGACTCCATTATTCAAATTCAATCATTTGTTCAAAACATGTTCAAACATTTCTTTTTCTAACAAAAATCAAACTTCCACGAATAACGTTATTTTGATAATTCTTCTGATGGCTATGTATAAACCGGTTTGATTACATGGCTAAAATAGCTTTCCCGGGAAATCCGAATTATAGATAAGGGGACACAAACACAGTAGTCATCAGATCTATATGGTGGCTGATAAGTGCCTTTTGTGTTTTCACCCTGTGACCCTCCCGATCGAAAAGTCGAGAGTTAACAAGTTAAAATGGCGGGGGCGCGGAACAAAAACACTTTAATTAGTGTTAGCGTGGGGCGAAAATTGATAAATAAACTTCGCAAATCAGCCACCAAAGATCCACATAAAAAAAGTAAATCTGAACTTAAGTCAGATGTATATCATATGGTGGCTGATTTGTGCCTTTCGTGTTTTCGTCCTGCGACCCCGCCAAGCGAAAAGTGGAAAATTAACAAGTTAAAACAGATAAAACGTCATCGCGCGCTCCGCGTTTGTTAATGAAAAGAACGATACATCTACTGGCTGAAAATTTACGGATTCGCTAGCTAAAGCAACAACTTTTCATTTCTTTGTATTCCTATGGGGCTAAGACTCTAACATAATTTGAGTGACCTAGTTTTTAAAATATCATGAAGTCGCAATTCGAGTTTTTTAATTATAATATGATCGGACGTTTAATATTTAATTAATTACAGCACTTACCATGGCAAAACTAATATGTTCATCCTTACATAGCATCTAGTGACTCCCAATACCAACCACTGACTCTCAAAGCAACCAGTGACCTTCCATAGCAACCAGTGATTTGCCATAGCAACCAGCGACTTACATGGAAACCTTTGACTTTTCAAACCATCCAGTGACATCAATTGCGGCTAGATTTTTCCATATCATACATTTACTTCGATAGCAACCACAAATTTGCATTCAAACCAGTGACTTCTATAGCAACCAGTGGTTCCCATAGATAACATTAACGTTTTTGTTTAAAACCAAGCAAGTCAGCTAAACAGATCATTCTTAGAAAGAAAATAAGTAATTCAAATTCAACAGCTTAGTACAACAATGTTAATTACTATTTTATCTTTTACAAACTTTATATTCTTTTTCACTCTATTTTTCGGGAAAAAAACAACAACAAACATTCGTGTTAATGAAATAATTAACCAAGTAAAACGTTGATAAATTTTGTTATTTCTGACACTTTGAGATGTACTTTACAAAAGTCATACTTGAGTTGATTTCCTATATTCGATTTTACTGTGTTTGAGTGTACTCTTTTTGTTTATATAATTCATGTTTTACTATTTGAAAATAGCAAATTTCTTAAACCAAACAAGCAATTATACATTTGAAGTAATAATTTTATTGAGTTCTGAGTAAGGATAATATACATTATATGGTTAATTAACATAAGGCAACAATTCTCGTTACTCTAGGTATGGCATCAACCACTAAGGGGAAGTCAGTAAGAAAGACTGACTTTGCATTGGACAGGTCAAAGAGTTTGTCATTTGATTGGACAGAATTTGAGCGAGTGTTTGCATCAGGTGATTGTTAATTTTCTTTTTCATATCTATTAGTTAATGATTTTTAAGTAATTATAATTTTATTATTCAATGTGATCTAGTATAATTTATACACTTTCTAACCTTTTCGCTGAAAGGCCGCATAAAATCAGTTTGGCTTCCTATGAAATTTACAGAAAAGAACTGAATAAAAGTAGAATTTGCATTGGTCTTTTTAAAATTACTGAAAACAGGGAATCTCATTGCCCTTTTAAAATTAATAAAGTAGTATAAATGAAATAGTTACGCTTTTCATGTTTAATTAAAGGTGTTCCGGAAACGAACTCAAGGCTCTAAGAGTTCAATTCTTTCACTTTCAGGCTAAGTTATTTAGATATTTCAGTTGTGTTTAACCATGTTTCGTCCCACAAATTATTTTACCTTTATAATAAAATCTGATTACATGTACTAAGTTATCAATTTTGTCAAAAATAACATGCCTACTAATACTTTTAAATACGAATAAAATTAAAAGAGTAAGAGTAACTTTTGTACGCGGCGGCGTGTTTGATATTTGCTAATTGATTTTATAGTGGAATTGCATGGGATTATGGGTATACCTTATTTCACATACGTCATTATTGGTTAAAAATACAATTTATATTATTCCTTCATTTTGTTTTATGATTATTGTTCTTACCAATTTTGTATCACTTTCTAAAGAATAACATTGCGTCATATTATACAAAAATAACAAAAATCATAGGTTCTGCGTCGCAGAGGGGAGATACTGCAAAAACATAAAAAAGCACAATACATAAACTCGTCGAACAGGTTATTGGACTAAATGACGAGAACCCTTCAAAACTATTTGCAATCAACTTTAAATTTCCACAAGTAATAACTGTTATTATTTCATCATTTAACAAGCATTGGTAATATTTTTTCATGGAAATGCTTTTTGCAAGTAAAAGCAGATAAAGTTCTTTCTTTTTAAAGATGCTTCTTGTTATATTGAATGTCATGCCAGTACTTCGCATTAATATGTTTTAAAATAAAATTTCTGACTATGAACATATTGTAATATAAATGTTATGTTACATTTCTTTTATTTGCCTTTTTGTTACATATCAGAGTTCAATACAAAGGCAGGATTCGAGCGTTTGGTGAGTTTCTTATCAGAAATCTCGAAGATCATCGCAAAATATCTAAAGTCTGAACGTGATGTTCGCAGCAAGGTGCTCGACTTTCACCATCCACATCAGCTGCGAGAGCAAATGGATCATTGTCTTTATGTTGACGAGAAGCCACGAGATTTGGAGCAAGTACTGAGTGACTGTAAAGAAACATTGAAGTATTGCGTTAAAACTGGTAAGAAAGAAAAATTGCAATCATTGCAGAAGCAAACAATAAATATTAAATTTAAAGAGGTTTTTTTTATTTGTTTAGCATCATTATATTCTCATCGCACATACATGAAATAACATACTGATTAAAACGTTGCCACATCAAATCACTTTTATGATAATATTAATATACTTGTTACAATGAATGATACGAATGGAACAAAACATTGAGTTTCAGCTTACCATGTGTATTTTTTTAAGCCCACCCAAGATTTCTGAACCAATTATCAACTGGTATTGACATAATTGGTCTTTCCGCTGAATGGGTCACCGCCGCTGCTAATACTAACATGTAAGTTTAGTTCGTATAGTAACAAAACATCCGATGTCACGTTTTATGATGATCATAATGGTTTTCAATACTATAAGAAAATTGAACTTAACCTTTACTAAATTGCAAAAAGAAAGTAAAAAAGAACAAGGAAACTGTTAAGATCATTTATTAATCAAAAACCTTAGAAACGTATAACATCTTTTGAAATTTGATAATGTATTTATTAAAAACATAATGCAACAAAATCGGTACTTGCGATCTTCATCAATAACATAGTATCTCAAAGCTTATCTAGCTGAATCGGCTTTCAATTTTGGGTTTTCTTATTCAAATAAAAAGTGAGATAGCCTAGACAGACATCACGGGCACGCAAGCTTGTCTAGGCAAAGGATGATGGCATCCAGTTCCAGCAGAATACAAGCTTATAAAGATATTTTAATAAGTTACACGCAAGCGTATTTTTACATTTTAACTATTATCTAAAGCAGCGTTTATATTGTTGCACTTATAAATTTTTCATTAATGGAATTAAAGGTTCACCTATGAAATGGCTCCAGTGTTTACCCTTATGGAGGAAGTGATTCTTGTGCGCATGCGCCGTTTCATTGGTTGGACGGATGGTGATGAAATATTTGCTCCAGGTAAAGATCGATGATTAAGGTAGAACGCGACACTTTGCAACTTTCGAGTAGGGCCTTGATGATTGACATGTAAAAGTTGATCATTGATTAGATTCCGTTATTTTTATATCAATAATTTCAGCAAATCTTTTTTACCCACGACGTCAAAGTTGACCATCAAAGCCCGTTTTTGAAAATCGTTGCGTATCCTTGGCAACTGTTACGGGTATCAAAACGCAATAGGCAGATAAAATAAATTTTGTAAATCTTTAAACAAATGAACGGACACTGTCAGGATCTGTCGATGTTTTATATGTTCTGTTTACTGACCATTTAATCAGTTTGCAATTGACATGTAAATAAAACCAGGATATATTAAATTTACTAAAAGCTGTACTATTTTATGTTATTCTGAAAGACTATTATTTCTTTCCTCTTCTAGAAATAGGGTAATTCTGAAGTACATCTTTATTCTCTGTTTTTATACACAGACTCCATATTTAAAGGAACACAAAATTTCATATTTTGGTAATATCTGACCTTGTTATTAAAAATATCTGTATTTTAGTAGAACAAAGTTCCCTTATTTTACGATTGTATGGATCACAGTATATAAGTCATATTGGTAATGCATGATATACGGTCCCATACATGTCCGTATTTTAATTTTCACTTGTCTATCAATAATATACGAATTCTGTACAATTCCTTATATCCATATATTTTCCGCAGCGGTCATAATGCCATAAATGCCCTTAATAGCGGGATTTTGACACAGGGCCATCTTTTTAATGACAAACAAAATAACAAACGCCTTTTGATAGCGTGACCTCTATGCAAAGGGGTGGGGGGAATAAAATCATGTGTACCGAAAAAATTGAGTCGGTGACCCATTATTTTTTAGTCATTTAGACGGAACATACATTTTAAAGGACGTTTAAAGAAAAAAATCAAACATTTATTTCAGGATTTTTTTTAATTAGCCGCTTTATAACTGAAAAAAATGCGGCTATACTAGACGTCAAATTTTACACAAAATAGACATTTTTCCTTTTTTTCATTTTTTGGATTTTGGTGTAAAATTTTATACCAACTTAAATAAAAATAATTTATGTGGAATGCTGTTGAATTTAACGTATTATGTCCGCCTATGGCGTTGTGATACCCGTTAAAGTTGCCATGAATAAAAGTTGCCATGGAAACGCAACGACGTCATGTTCAAAAACGGGCTTTGATGGTCAACTTTGACGTCGTGTGTACAAAAATTTGCTGAAACTATTGGAACTAAAATCAACGGAATCTTATCAGAAATGCGGAAAACTGATTTCATGCCAATTTTTAAGACGTTACTCGAAAGTTCGCAAAGTTTCGCCTTCTACCTTAAGTGCACCTAGATTCTGTCCCAACTAAAAACTTTGCTATAGCCGATATATTGATACAGTGAATACTAATATCCATTACCGCGCGTACACTATCGCATAATCTGTCTGGAAAATATGTGTATAAAGCATATTTAAGATGATTTAATGTTTTACTCAAAATTTTGCTGAGTGTTTTAACTTGCAAAATAAAATAACAAATTAGTATATAATCACTGATATATTTCTTTATGATAAGAAGTGAAACGCTTTTATGTAGTTTCGGGGAAAAATGATATATGTTACCTTTAAGGAAGTAAAGACATATATTTATATATATACAGAGACCCTTCGTTGTGACAATATTTCACTTGTTCAGTTAACAATTCGTTGGCTTAATACTACAAACCCGTATGTCATTTTTTGTCATTTTTAGAAAATCGCATTTGAAAGTTTGAACTGTAATAACTTTTTAATGATAAACCGTATAAAGATAAAATTTTCAGTGAATTTAGAAATCTGTATGTTGTACATATGTACCAAATTTTATTTCTGTGCATACAATTTTAAAGCTAAAATATCAAATAATTAATTTCAATTTTCATAATAAATAAGAAATACATACAAATTCTGAATTCTAAAACCCCATTCGAGAGATACGTGGTTGTTGACAAACATTCAGGTCATTTCTACATCATAAAAGCGACATACGGGGTTCTAATTGAAACATTTGAAGCAAATTGACTAAGTGTAATAATTTTCGGCTAGAAACATAGCAAAAATTCAAGTAAAAAATATCATTAACTTCTCCTACTGTGTAAAATATTACACGTCTGTTTGAAAATCAATGCTACTATCAAATGAAATCTACATTAATTTTTCAAAAGTATGCACTTGTTATGTTACATGTTTATCAACCGTGGGTATTCGACGATGCGTTTCTGTCACATACCTATGTTGCTATTATGTTTCAATTTTTGATTTAGAGTGTACATTAAGTACTTCAGAAAACAGCGTTGAATCTGAAACAATTTGTCCTGATAGCATCTAGATGTAAACAAAGTGGTATTTTGTCTTCCATTCAAGAACATCTAATAACTATAACTTTTATGGATGATCAAAATGCAAATGTAAAAATGGGTTCAGCTATATAGCTAATGAGTACCCTTTCAAAAAGTGTAAAAACTTGAAAATAAGAAGCTTTTTCTCATCGAGTACTCATCGAGGCCGTCCGAAATTGTTATCATCCGAATAAATGTAGTATTTACATATGTATCTATTCAATACATTACTATTAATCAAAATGATGTAAGAGCTATAAAACTAAATCATCAATATATGTATATACATTCAGGTAAAAATTACTATAAATTATCTTTAAATAAATCACTAAAAGTTTTTCAAATATTTGATTGTGATAAGTAGGCAGCCATTACAGATGTGTCATGTATCACGTGGTACAAAATCAGAATGTTTGATTTGGACGAGAAGTTACTGGGGTCTAGAATTAAAGTTGATGTAAATAGCGAGTTACGGGTTTGTGGAAATTGGAAATAAACATTTTTATGTTATTCTACAACTACATAAGTATGTTCACTGTGAAGAGCTCATTGAGACGAAAAAAATGATATAAAAATCTCAATTTTGCCAAAAATCGAGTTACGGGTTGTAGAATTAACCCGACGAATTTATGTGTTTACATGCAATTATATAAAACAGGTGGGCGCCATTTTCCAACCTATATGCTATGCTAGCTGCTCGACACGCAGCAAATCAAATATTAAAGAGAAAGAATGGCGAATGGTTTACAGTTTGCAGTCTTTTACGTCTGTACAGGTTAATTATACTTTGTATTTAAGTTATTTTACTTTTCATTAATATTTTGTCAAGAAAGAACGAACTACATGCACTTAATCATGAATGAAAATGCAGAAACTGTACATATCAGTTATAAAATGACTCCAATGACGATATATTCTTCTTTTATTTACATGAAGGAATTAGAAATATTTTTTCCAATATGTGTATATACCATTTAATGTACATGCATGTCTTGACATAATCTTTTTTTTTTGCAAATTTTCAGATCATTATTGTCTCCCCGCTTTTTGTTGACTTTTATTTCTATGTGAAACAACTCAAAAAGCGTTTAAACGCCCTTCACTCAAATCGGACTGAGAATTGCATAGAAAATCGAATTTTAATTTTATTCTGATCATATTTCTTTGTTGTTTTCATATAGGTGCTTCACTTGATTTAGAGTTTATGTATTCAAGCCTTTTGACTGCAGTGGAGCTCCTTTAAACATTGTTTCTTTACTCAGATAGAATGTTGTATTTCTGTTCATTAAGTAAAACATGTTGATAATGATACGCAAATTAAAACTCTTAATTTCTTCTGTATATTAAATATTTATTCAAAAAACATATTTGGATATCCTGTGTTGTTTCATGTTACGTAAATATATAATTGAGCCGTGTCATGACAAAACCAAAATAATGATTTTGCGACCAGCATGGATCCAGACCCGCCTGCGCATCCGCGCAGTCTGATCAGGATCCATGCTGTTCGCTTACCAACCCTTTTACAAGTCGAGAAACTGATAGCGGCAGCATGGATCCTGATCAGATTGCGCGGATGCGCAGGCTGGTCTGGATCCATGCTGGTCGCAAACCCATTAGGTTGATTTTGTCGTGACACGGCTCATATCAAGTTTGATAAGCAAAGACATGAAAGAGGATCATTTTCTTAATGGTTCGTAAAAAGAACGAAATAAGTACAAATTAAGAATAAGAGATGTCATATATTGATGTCATCAACTAATTAACCAAAGTAAATTTGTGCATATTCTTAATGTTTAAAACCTTTGAATTTATGATTCACTGATATATTATTATTATTATTATTATTTAAATTTAAATGTATTTGAATTTTATGAAAGAAAAATTTTCAATGAGCGCGAGTTGTAATCTAAACGACAAATGTTCACCTTTCTAACATTTTTATTGTTTCAGAGTCATTTTTCTATCAAGAAAGCGGCAATACTCCTCGGAATAGGTCTTAATAATGTTTACAGTATTCCCGCCGATGAAAGGTACGTGATAACTTTGCACGTGTTTCGTTATATTCATAGATCTGTTTCATCTCAAACTAAAAATGTTCATCAAAATCCTTTGTATGAGAAACGGTATTTTGTATTTATTTAAGTTCGAGCTGAGCCGCTTTTACAATGTATCTTGGTTGCAAATAAAAACGTTATATAAGTTAAGTTAAACAAATTCTTTTCTAAAAAAATCAAACACCATCAATATTATCTTAAGACCGCGAGTTTCAAGTGTTCAGTATCTGAAAACCAGAAATATTTACAAAATGCGTTTATTTAGCAATGTAACTGTTAAAATTTCAGAGGCAGAATGCGAAGTGTTGATCTTGAAACAGCAATACGGCGCTCGATAGAGCACGGTATGGTGCCGTTAATGGTAAATGCAACATGCGGTACAACTGTTCTTGGTGCGTTTGATCCTGTGAACGCCATTGCTGATGTTTGTGAGCGCTATGGATTATGGCTTCACGTTGACGTAAGACAAAACTTTAACAGCCTTTTGGAATTATCGTTTTATATTTATTTAATACAAAACTTTAAAAACAATTTTTAAAGATTTAAGCCTTCAAATAGAAATGAATGTATAGACATTTGGATAACCACTTGCATAGCGGATTCTGTTGTAAGCAAATGTACAAGCTCCATCATTAATATCAAATTAATATTGATATTGTTGCACTGTTTTTACTTGTCATGTTTGAAAGGGACATGTGTATTTAATATATGAAACCATCATCATGCTTTTGTTATTAGTGGAGAACAATGTACTAATTTTTTCAGCATAAACATGTTAATCTTTTTTCTCCATATAATGACTTCAGGGGGCATGGGGAGGGAGTGTTCTGTTTTCCGAGAAATACAGACATCTTCTACAAGATATATACAGGTTTGTTTACTTTAATTCCTACCTTGGATCGTCAAACATGTTTTTTCCCTACATTATCGTATTTAGTATGTTAATGTGTTTTTTACAATAATATAATGTCTTTTTGTATACATTATTTGTATAATAGTAATAACTTGCTTATGTAATCCACTTGTTATATGGAAAAGAAACGCACGTTCAACTTATTTGTCATGTAAATATATTACAAAATACTAATAAATTCTGACTAAAATTAGAATAATTTATTGCTTATTTTTGATAATTCATTAGCTTCTTCTTTAATAATAGCAATCAAGCAATATACAAATGAGCCGCGTCACGACAAAACCAATATAGTGCGTTTGCGACCAGCATGGAACCAGACCCGCCTGCGCATAAGCGCAGTCTGATCAGGATCAATGCTATTCGCTATCAGTTCCTCTACTTGTAATAGGGTTTGTAAGCGAACAGCGTGGATCCTGATCTGGTCTGGACCCATGCTGGTCGCAAACGCACTATGTTGGTATTGTCATGGTGCGGCTCAAGTCATAAAAGTTTTAATCTTAAGAAATATCGAATTGTTGTAGATATTTGGTTTCAACTGAAATACAAATTATTTGATGATTTGTATGTTGTCCACAAAAACAGTGTAACAAGTACTAATGTATCGTTTTTCAGGGCGGACTCTCTGACATGGAACCCCCATAAAATGATGGGTGTCCCATTACAATGTTCGGCGATTTTCTTAAAGAAAAAGGTAAATCGTTAAATATTTGCCCTTTATTCTTATTTTGCAATTTAAATGGCATGCATTACTTAAAAGTTATGACTTCGGAAATTAATTAGATATTAACATTTAAACACGAACAGAAATCTCTTTCACTGTCTGATTCGGTAAAAATTCAGGAAATTTAAAAAGAAATTAACTTGTTTCGTTTTAATTTCCGAAAATCTTTTTATTGGGCTTAGGATATAATGGCTATCTCAGTCCATATATTTGTACCACTTGACATTTTGTTTTATATGTGGGGCACAAAACCAATACAAAAGTCTGTCTCGTTAAGATTTTCTTTCATAACCCTTTTACAATTTTTTTGTGAGCATTAGCATTCTATTGCATAATTGGAATTGTATTTTGAGCTTAAATCAGTTTTTTTTATAAAGTGCTTCAACAGTTAGAAATTCACGCTATTTCTCTTTACTGCAAAAATTTTTTTTTTTCCAAACATTCAATATATCAGTTACCCTCTTAAATGAGCGGACTATACACCAGATCCTATTGAAAGAATTAAATTGGGAAAATAGTGTTAAGAAAGATAAATCCTAGAACGGCTTGACCTTTGAATTTCTTTCTCAAGTGACCACAATAATTAATGTCATGTGATATTGGCACCGTATTTATGCTGATGCCATTCTTTTGAAATTTGGTTGGCAGTCGGCCACACACTATTGTACATGTTTCTGTATCTGAGTATTTATAACACAAAATTATTAATATATAGTTAATGGTTATCAAATCGCGTCTAACTGCCCACTGACACATCAAAATTATTTGAATTAAGCCTATTTATAATTCATATACTGTGTAATTTGACTCTTGCTGAAACTTATCATCATTTTCAATATTTGTTAGGGAATATTGTCAGAAGTGAATCAGCTACATGCTGACTACCTGTATCAGAAAGACAAGATATACGACACATCGTATGATACTGGTGACAAGGCAATACAATGTGGGCGTCATAATGACATCTTCAAGTTGTGGTTGATGTGGAGGTCAAAGGTAATTTGTATTAGAATCAAATAATCTTGCAGTTAATGTAATTGTCACGTAAGCAATGTTTTGTAAACTTAATAAAATTGTTATAAATACAAGATCGAAGCAAACACGCAATTCAAAACAAGTGAGGTCAATAATATGTGTTTATGTTTTAATGACGGCTAATGATAACTTAGCTGTCAAACGAATTGAACATATATTTCTATGCATATAAAATATGCGATACTGCATATCTTGCAAAAATATGTTTAAATTGCGCATTCAATTTTGTTTAACTTGTCTAGGGCGATAGAGGATTCAGGGAACAAATTGACAGAAATTTTGCAATGTCAAGGTAAGACAGAAAATTGTATATCATCATAAACTGGATGTTGTTCACATTGAGCTTCGACCCTTAGAATAGGTACAATAAGATGATATGTAATTATATGAGATAATTTGATTGCTTTGTCATCGTTGCTTGTATAAGACGGCCACTGTGCATATATCAACTTATTCAGGCATTTGATCTAACAATCCCTATTAATAGTTTCTAACAAACAACTGATGTACATGCACAAAAACAGAAAACAACCAAAAGCACTCGTATTATATAACAGTTTTGATAAATATGGAGGTAAATAAACGTCACTTCAAGACATTGTAATAATTTTAATATTTCAATGCTTCAAACAAGTAGCTATTGCTTTAAAACATATATTTAAACAAATATTTACAAACTGGTATATCCTTTTACTATTTGGTTAATATTTTAAAAGAAGAAAGATAAGTAAAAAAATGATGAGTATTCTGGTTTTAAGATTTGGCTCAATATTCAATATGTGAGGCCAAATATTCAATATAAAAATTTACATTTCAAGGTATTTACTCGAGGTTCTCAGAAAACGAGAAGACTATGAACTAGTTCTAGAAGAAGTAAGTCCAGTTTCTTAATGTTATCAAGTAATCAAGATGAATTTGATCCACAGAAAATAGTTATAAATGATAATTATTAATTATAGTTACATTGTAAAGTGCAAGGTCATGGAAACATGGGGGATCAGTTTTAAGTTTAAACCGAATGATAGTCAGTTATTGAGTTCAAAGTTTTGACATTCTAGATTTCCCTTTAAAACTGTGTTCGCAAAGGGGCATGTTGTGCAGAAAGTGACAAAATTACTTGATTCTTTCTATATTACTTATTATCCGTAACAAAACTTAATACTGTTATTAGTAAAAATATAACTGATAACACTTCCCCAATATGGATCTAATACAAATCTTACTTCAGATCGAAGGTCCGACGGTGTGTTTTTGGTATGTTCCACTAAAAATAAGAATGATGAAGGAAAAACAAGACAAATACTTCCACCTTCATAAGGTATGTAAGATATAAACTGTTTCCTTGTCTTCTTTTTTTTCATTGCCAGTTACCCGTTTCACTCAAACTTTTCCTATCTGCACACGAAAATAGGACAGTTGGATCAGTGTCTAAAAAGAGATACATTTTAATTTGTTGTTTACGTTAAAAACATTGTCAGTGATAGACTGCTGAAGATGTTGAGTGTATTTTATTCTTTAATTTGAAGTGTACGAAATATTCCTTTCACCTCATCATGGTAACAAACAATACATTTTTTTATTATAAAAGCTTAATATAAATGAATGACTATAATTCCATCAGCAATGAGAACAAATATTATGAAATTTTTTGTCTGGTCATTTTTACAAAATTCCATTGTGTTAAGATTTGCCCATTTCTTCTCTTTTATTAACGTAAGCTTTCTTTTATTTGGAGACCAAACGCCACCTTGGACTGTATCTTGTACTTTCCAGTGCCGTCCATGAGCAAGCTAAATCAAATCGAGCCTGCAACTTTTTTAATTATGTCGTAATAAACATGTGGATATGAAATAATAACTTTATTTTGAAGTTGACAGCAAAATTGAAGGCGTTGATGATGGAAAAAGGATCGTTGATGATACAGTATCAGCCTCTTGGGGACCTACCAAACTTCTTCAGGGTAGCTTTCTCAAATCCTGCAATAACACACTCTGATGTGGATTTTATGGTGCAAGAAATTGCCGACCTTGCTAAACAAGTAGAATAGCACAACAGGAACACATCAAACTACAGGTGATTGAAATACAATCGTTTTTGTTATTTATTTATTTATTTTAGGGTGCAAGAGAGTGCGGGTGGGGTTTACAGAAGGTGTTTATATAACTGCAATCATTTTTTTTCTTCTACAATCACTGCACTAGTATGCAAGTTACATGCTTTCTTATTGTATCTATATCAAATGTTTATACATGGTTTTGTTAGAACTGTTTTTTTTATAATCGATGTAACTGTTACTTTTGAGTGGGTGGGTTTTTATACAAATATGTTTATATGGCTGTCACTTTGAATATATAATGGGAAAGATAGCAACTTTCTGACAATAGTATACTTTAAGACATCTAAACATAAGTCATTTAATTTTACATTTATTATGTGAAGTAAGTTCATTTGTGAGGTGACATTAATACATATCATATCGGTATATCAACAAACTAGAATAAATACATTCTAGATCGTTTCCATGTACAATATTTATCAAAATCTAGGCCATGATTTATAAAGATGATTCTTTTCGCAAATTCTAGAATTTTTTAAATCGACTTGCAAAATAACTTACAATTCAAGAATATATTGATTAAAAAAAAACATTTGACAAATTCTCTAAATTTTAAAGTCGACAATACTGCTAGAACATTTCAATCGGAAAATATACAGAACGAATATTTTCTAAGTTAATCAGATAAAATAACTTAATCATTCTAGTCCTAACAAATATAGCTCTTAAAAAGTCGTTGTGTAACTTGTATACTTTCAGTTTGCTCGGATAGAACGGAGGAAATATACAAAAACAACACTAAATAGAGCGGTAGACAGACAACACATTACGTTATTGACACATACATGTATAGAGATGGATATTGTGCAATCTATAGAACATTCTGAAGATAAATTAATCAAATGAATTAGTCATTTAATTGTCATGTTGTTAAACTTCACCTATTTAATATGTTTGAGAAGTATTGGTACTTTCAGTGCGGAAATGAATAATAATCCCATTAGATTTTTATCATATTTGGATGTAAAAAAAATTCTAGCTTAAATAATTGTGTTATGTTATAGAAATATTCCATTCCAAAAAGAAGTAGTCCTCCGTTAAATTCTAAATGAAATTGAAACATTAAACAGCAGATGAAAATGTCAATGTACAAAATATATACAAGAAGATATGCATGTAATAGATTCTAAAAAAATGTTTGTGTTTGTTTAAGTATTCTATTTGAGAACTGTCACTAAACATTGTTTGACTTTGCTCCGACATACTATTAAAATATTGAGCCAATCGTTTTTAAGTTGAAATGCCTAGTTTTAACATCATTGTTGACGTGACCCCGCGTCGCAGGAGTATCTATACATAATTCACTCGAGAAAAAGAAGCTGACTGAAACAAAAATAAAAAAGCACAATGAACGAAAGCTACATTATCATTCAGACAAGGGCAACAGTCAAGTCTTTAATTTGCGTTAATTCAATCCGTAATAGTTACTCCGGTGAAATATGATTTCAATATTATAAATTCATGCAATGGTGGGCTCCTTTACCACCTAAAGATAAAATATTTAGCTACAAACATTGTGACTCTAAACGTAAATCTTGGTCCTACAGGTGTGTAAACTGTTGATGAACCTTTTCTGTGACACCCAAGATGTTATTTTAAAGTAACATAACATAACATAACATAACATAAATTTATTGCATAAAACTCTTTTACAAAGTTTATAGCAAGCAATATATAATTGCGGCTGGTACATGAAAACTTGTTTTCGGAAAAGGAAAAACAAGTTTATTAAATTGACTTATGAATACATAGTATTTTGCACATTTTAACAAAGTTCAGTGTATTTTTTCTAACATGTCAGCTTTTGTTATCAAAGTAAGAGCATACAGTATTATGGAGGTGTATGGACAAATTATGAAATTCTTATTCTATTGGCAAAATATATATATTTCGATAAATTACAAATATATTTTTTAGATGTGGCATTCATTAATTGATCAAATTTATGTATAGATGGCCAACGACAAAAATAGTGCCGAAAATATTTGGTTTTCAATTCGCGATATTTAGGACATACTAAAATAAAGTGGAATTCAGTTTCAACTTTTCTCACATTACAAGATTTACAAATCCGTTCTTCTCGTGCGATATTCTCATAACGTCCGGTTTCTATAAGTAAACTGTGCAACGATGTTCTAAGTCTTGATAGTGCAACCCTATACTTGTTCTCTTTAATGCAATCTAAATAATGTTCTGTTTGAAAAGTATGCTTAAATATCCAGTAAGATTGAAGGCGTGGCGAATTATTTATGTCTGAGTACCAGCGTTGATAATATGTATCTAATATGCGTTGTTTTATCAACTGGAACGGTATATTATTCACATCCGTTTGTTGATTCCAGACATAGCTTAATCCATGTTCATCTAAAATACTTTTCACTTGAGCAGCACAATTAGGACCACGATACTCACGACCGCTATCAGCGTCAGCTTTGAAAAACGTATATGTCTGCTTTGTTAATGAAGAGTCCGCGTGCCTTAATATTTTAATCCAATATTAGATTATGTTTATTTTTCTGAATACGGCTAATGGTACGCGCCCGAGTTCTCCATAAAGTGCGGAAAGGTTTGTTGAGCGTTTCACACATAATACGCGACGTAAGAATTTAGTATGTAGCAGTTCTATGTCGGTCGCTTCATGCATTCCCCATATTTCAGAGCCGAAATTAAGACTAGAACCAACCAAACTGTCAAATAATCTTACTTTTTGTTTAATTGGTAACTCGATATTATTAAAGATGGTGAACAGGCTATATAATGCACGAGACGCATGCTATGCAATATATTTTTGACTGCGATACTGTAACAGGGTCTTATTTTTAAGATCAGGTCTAAGGGACAATACTCTTGCTTTACTGTTGGATTTTATAATTTTGCAAAGGGAGACAAATCCGCCGGTCTTGTCTGATATTTTTCAAGGGAGATTACTCTATAGGTTTTAACTGATTTTATCTTGTGTTTACATTGGTCAGTTTTCTAAGAATTCAAATGATTGGTTCACGGATCGTTGGTTTTAAGTTATTTTTATGTCATGTGATTTCTTGGTGGGAAAAGTCATTGTGTCTTTGTTATGTTGTAAAGGAAAGGTTAGAAAAATAAGTGTTTGTGGTCAAGTTCTTTATTTCATAAGGTGGTATGTATTTATCCTGACTGCTGCTAAATGCTTTATTGTAAATATGTAGAATTGCATTATTGTGATTCTGTTGTATTTTGGTTCAGTCCATTGATTGTGAAATTTGTAAATAAGTATGAGTTTCAGAATGACATGTATCTATCAAATCACCTTTCATCTTTTATTCACTATTAATATTTAACCTTGCAGTTAACAGTCACTGGTGTGATAGTCAGAGAGATAATAATAAGATTGATGTACTACACTCATCCCTCAGATGGTAAGTTACATGTGTGATGTATTGTGTATTGTTTAAAAGATAAAATATGTTAATTGTGTATATAATTCCATAAGCTATGATATTAGATTTAAGGACTGTTGCTGAGTTTAAAGAACTGAATTGGCCACTAGACATGTAATTGATTATGTAAGATATGATAATAATTAATGCATTGTTTCTACTTTATTTTACTTTATATTTACATATTGTTATATACTTATTTCAGAGTGTTGTTGGTTTGTACTTATCAAATCTACTTGATGTAACAACCTTATTAGAAGATTGGATTGGTATATAAACATATAAGAACTTCACAGCTGTTGTTGAAATGATTTAACAATCCCGAACTCATTTGACCCTTAGGGGCTCGGATAGCTTTATATATAGTTGCGCCGAACCACCCCTATTACAATACCAGTTTCCATTTTTAAATAATGTAATACCTAAATATTTAAATGACGTAACTACTTCTAAGGGATGTATCTTCAATATAAAAGTTATGTTGAAAGTGACGTCCTCTTTCGAATATTAATATTTTAGTTTTTGTAGTGTTGATTGTTAGACCCCACTCCCTACAATACGTTACAAGATCATTTATCATAGACTGTATGTAGCATAAAGTACTTGGTCATCAGCGTACAATAATAAAAAGTATTTTACTTCGTTAATTGTGAATATATCATCAATATTTGTATTAATATTGTGTGTGACGTCATTTTCGAAGTACATAAATAGCAGAGGGGAGCTCGGGTCCCCTTGTTTCAATCCGATGTTAGAGGTGAAGAAGTCTGATGATTCTGAATTGAACTTTACACAGGACTTAACAATAGTATACATATTGCTTTTACGGCCCGTACAAATTTACTACTAACTTTTTCTGTTAGAAGTATTTGACATAAATATGTCCTATTAATTCTATCAAAACACAACATATAATCAACAAAACAGCAATAAAGTTTTTTACCCAAGTCTTAAACTTTACTTAATACAGAATGTAGGACAAAAATACAATCAATTATTGACTTCGCCTTTTGGAATCCGAATTGATTTTTGTCAAGCGTATCGTATTTGTTGGACCATTGAGTTAATCTATTTAAAAGCAACTGAGAGTAAATTTTTGCAAGTACATTAATAAGACAAATGCCTCGATAATTCTTAGCATCATTTATGTCCCCTTTTTTAAAGACAGGAGTAATTATTCCTAAACCCCAAGAATTAGGATACTAGTATTCACCACTGTTAAATATTCTGTTATATATTTTCAACAAAAGAGGTGAAATTAAATCATAGCTCGACTTAAACAATTCACTTGGAAGATTGTCTAACCCCGGCATTTTATTATTGTTTTGGTGGAAAACTGCGGATCTAAGTTCTTGTTCTGTAAAATAAATATCTAGGTCAGCATCGGTTTGGTCGTTCTGCGGAATATAATCGTCATTTTCACTACTCGGCGGTTCCTCACCAAACATGCCTTTAAAATGTTTAAACAAACTATCGATATTAAGATTATTGGCCTTTAGCGGTGCCTTTTTAAAAGATTTTCGAATCTTTTTCCAAAACTGTCTATGTTGAGAGTTAGCTAAATTGCTAACTTTCTGGCCCTGTCGAATATTGTATATATTGTATGCTTTCTTTTTCACTTTATTATACTTAGTCCTAGCACGCGTGAACAATACCCTGTTTTCATTTATATTATTACGATTAAAATTATTACGTGCGCGTTTAAACTCTTTTTTTGCGGTAGCGCAGTTAGCGTTTAACCAATCTTTGCTGGTGATTAAATGAATCTTGTTTTAATAGTCAGCTGTGCACGAAAAAGATGTACTTTTTTATTCATCCCATACTATTTTAGAAGTCGTGGGAGCTGGGTTAAAAAAAATTTTTTAATTTTAAAA